TAAATACTGATCGGTTTGAGTAACATCTGGAGTACAACTCTGTCCCTGTTACTGATAATTGTTAAATACTGATCGGTTTGAGTAACATCTGGAGTACAACTCTGTCCCTGTTACTGATAATTGTTAAATAAGACTGGTTGGTGTAACATCTGGAGTACACCTCTGTCCCTGTTACTGATAATTGTTATATAAGACTGGTCGGTGTAACATCTGGAGTACACCTGTGTCCCTGTTACTGATAATTGTTAAATAAGACTGGTTGGTGTAACATCCAGAGTACAACTCTGTCCCTGTTACTGATAAGTGTTATATAAGACTGGTCAATGTAACATCCAGAGTACACCTGTGTCCCTGTTACTGATAATTGTTAAATAAGACTGGTCAGTGTAACATCTGGAGTACAACTCTGTCCCTGTTAATTATTGCCATATAAGACTGGTCAATGTAACATCCAGAGTACAACTCTGTCCCTGTTACTGATAATTGTTATATAAGACTGGTCAGTGTAACATCTGGAGTACAACTCTGTCCCTGTTACTGATAATTGTTATATAAGACTGGTCAGTGTAACATCTGGAGTACAACTCTGTCCCTGTTACTGATAATTGTTATATAAGACTGGTCAATGTAACATCCAGAGTACACCTCTATCTCTGTTAATAATTGCTATATAAGACTGGTAAATGTAACGTCTTGAATAAAGTGTTTTCACGTCATCGATGAATGTTATGTATAAAAGTATAACTAATGGAATAAAACTGTGTTAATTTTACTGATAACTCTTATATACGATTGGCAGATGTAAATGATGTAATATAATTACAGTAAAGTTACAGGGGATTGTTATATACAACAGAAAGATGTTAGATGTTGGATTACAATTGCGTTCGTGTTATTGGAGACTGTTATATATGAATGTTAGATGTAACTGTTGGAAGAGAAGATAACAATGACTGCTAAATACGACTAGAGATGTAATTGTTGAAATAAAATTGTTTTCACATAATTCTTGACTAATATGTACGACGAGTAGACATAGATGTCCCTAAATACAATTCTGTTTACATTACTTATGAATGTTATATATAACTATTACATGTAACTGTTGAAATAAAACAGTGTCTACATTACTTAGGAATGTTATATAGAACTAGGGGAGACCGGGGCTAGTTGTTACAGGGGCAAGTTGATACAGTGCCTCTAGCTCTTGTTGCGATTAATGGACGGCGATAGTTCACGGACCATCGAACACGTGCTGCGCAAGCTTTGTTTTAATGGCGACATGAATAAGATCAGTCACGAAATAAAAAAGTTATGTACATTTTCTGTTTTTGCATACCTAAACTAAAAGAAAAATGTCTAGGAAATATCTATTTACTCTGTATATACTGTGTTTTGATACTGTTCTTATTGGTTGCAGACTTCGACAGTTAATACCTCTTAATATACGATAACATTGAATTATGTTGTTTGACGATGAATTAATATGGAGACATTGTTATTCCCCATGTCAATATGGGGCATGTTGTTACAGCATGTAACAACATGCCCCAAGGTTCATCAAAAAAGGTGTAATGCACATGAAATGTTAATGAATTACATTTTTTTACAGATCAATTGCAATTATGGTTCGCACGTATATTAGAAAGAATGATAGAGGAGGCTGATAGAATTATTAATAATAATTTAATTTAAAGGTATTGTTCGGGCTCAGGTTTGTTATTATTTTACAAAAAGCAGTAAACAAAACTATCATGATATGTAAGCCTATTATAATTCATATATGAACAAAAAATGTTTATAAATATTTCTGTACAGATAACTTAATATTATAAAATCAAAATTGCGATTTTTAATATAGCCTATTTAACATGTGTGTGCATCTCGATCGGGAGTCCAGCGCGTTACCACTGTACTGTTCAGACAGCCACTCCCTAACAAATTATGTCCTGACCATTTAGCCTACATATAGGCCTATTATAGTGCATCCATAGATATAAAACAATATAAAATATTTAATATCTATACTTTCAGGTAAATTTCATGACGCTACAAATTTTATCAAGAAAAAGCAAAAACAGAATGCAGAACCAAATGGGGAAAAAACTGATCTAAAAACTGGATACTTAACATCCCGGTATGGACTTTCTCCAAAAGATATCAGACAATTAGCCTACCAATTTTCAAACGAAAATGAAATAACAGCTCCCTTGAATTGGGCAGCAA